AGGCGGGCCCAGTGACAGAGGAGGCGGGACCCGCAAGCGATCGTGGAGAAGGAGGCTGACAGAGGATCGGCCAGACAGGTAAGAGGGTTTGACCGCCCACCTGAGACCCTGCAGAGTGTATGGTGGGCTCTGCAGGGTCACCCTCAGGTGGGCTGTTTGGGTTATCAGGTGGACTTATCTAGAAATCACGGGGGGCCCATACAAAATTGTGGCCCTGTGATTTCTAGTTACGCCCCTGGTGGTGGGTATGTGATTGGGTGCTGGTGGTGCATGTTACTGGGGGGGGAAGGGGGTGGCATGTGCAGGTAATGCATGGTACCTCTAGCTCTGTCTGATGTCCCACCCCAATCATTGACAGGACCCCAGACAGTGCGTCCCGCTCAGCCACTGGCAACCTGTGATGTCAGAATTCTACTGAGGCAACCACCTCAGGCTGTCTCATTGTAGGGACAGTCCTGAATATGAAACAATAATGTCCTTGTCTTCTGTTCAGCTCCCAGGAAGTGGCAAGGACACCGATTTTCTGGCAGGATCAACGGGTATTTTCTGTGCATGCCGAAAATGTTCTAAGCCTGAAAAAAGAAAGTGACTGCAGCCGCCACATCTAAGGACTGGCAAGCTGCAATATTTGACATTTCTAGTTTAATACAAAAATATTCTTTTCACAAATGGCTAAAAACAAGCGTCAGGCTCGGTCCACAAAGCTGACCCACGGGGATCCTTCTTGTCATAAAGTCACAGTTCTTATCAGGTGACGAGATCTGACAATGAAGATTCTTATCCTTGTGCTGAAGCTTTGTGAATTGAGCCCGTCGTGCCGACTTTTGTACTTTGTCATTTTTAGTTCTGGAAATAATATTACTTTGGGGGACACCAGCCCGTTTTCCCTGGATGGGGGACATTCAATGTGCCGCCGCAGCAGAGTCGGCGCTTAAGTCATTCCCGCCTGAACGCAGCCGATCCAAAATCAGCCTCTTAATATTTCAACGTCTCCTTTAAAATGTCGGAATTTTATCATTGGCTTCATTTTCTTTTTTATACTCCTCGGGCGTGGGGTGTCATGGGGTCTATTTTAATTATGTAATAATTCTGTACATTTTGGGGTACGTACATTTTGGGG